AAAAAAAATCGATTATCGTGCCATGAAATATCGATATTCAGAATAATCGATACGATATCGAACATTCCTAATTGTGTGTAACTTGACGCATAAGCTTTGTTGACGGGGATCTCAGTATATCCAGTAAAAAAACTGTGGTGAAGTCCTTTATGGGGATAAAGTTTCCAGAGGTGAAATTTTAGGTAGCACACAATTTCTTACACGCATGGTTGCTTTTCAGCACTCATGAAAGAAACTTAAGAAATATTTGAAAAAAAAGTTCATATAGTACATTAATTTTTGAAAGAAATACCATATAATGTATGTACTCTGGTTAATAATATCAAAAAATTTATTAGAACCACCGTTTAATGTTATATTTGATACAAATTAATATTGCTGCCCCGAACGCTCTGCGCCTTGCCACTGAATAATAGATTTACTAAAATTACATCCCTGGTCCTTGCTCTTTCTGTATCGCATCGTGGTGAATTCACATTTCTCAGAAATTTGACAACAAAACAAAACAAAGCGAGTATTTTATTTGCTAATTTTTGCGATTTCAATTGTTTAATGTAAATTTATGTCTTTTTAGGATATGTCGAGCCAACAAAGAAGGCGCAGTTGGAAAATTGAGTAATTAGTAATGAAGTAGCAGGCATATTTGGAAAATTATGCCGATAAGCAGGATGGAATTTGGGAAAGTAAGTGCATGGTTGCAGCATATCTATGTATAAAAAGTATTTAATTAAATTGTTTATAGAAATGTTATAAATCGAGTGGCTCATTTACGATGTGCTCCAAACATTTGGCGAACTTTTTTTCGCCTTTTCAACGTGCTAAGTAACAAGTTAAGAGGACTGCCATCACGGCCGGTAAGAAACCTCAAGCAAAGGGCAGACAACCTTCCAGGAAGCTGCCTCCTGTCCCAGAGCCGAAGCTGCAGTTCAGCAAGAGCAGGTCAGCAAATTGCTACCCTGATCAAACGTAAACTAAAGCGCTCTGCTGTGATTGCACTCCGTAAATGTGAAAACTTGGTGCATGCTGAGAAATATCAAACAAGAAAACTCGGTGATGGACGCCGTGAGATGGAGGAGCGCTGTGTGGCAAAGAAATGCGGCCAATTCGACGGGCCTGAAAAATCCAAATTGGCTTTTGTGATCCGCATCCGCGGTATCAACAAAGTTGCACAAAAAGTGCGTAGTTTTACAGTTCTGTCTTCGCCACATTAAAACGGTGTGTTCAACAAATTGAGCAAGGCAACCATTAATATGCTACGTATGCCGAACCCTATATGGGGTTATCCAAATCTTAAATCAGTTCGTGAATTGATGTACAAACGTGGAATGGTCAAGCGTGTCCCAATCTCTGCTTTGTGATCGAACGCAAATTTCGCGAAGCGCACGAAATTCAGTGCGTTGATTCACTTCACTTCAAGAAAGCCCCCAACTTCCTGTTGCTATTCAAGCTCAACACATCAACCCGAGGCTGGCGCAAGAAGGCTAATCACTACGTTGAGGTTGGTGATTTCGGTAGCCGTGAGGATAAGATCAACAAATTGCTGCACAAGATGGCTTAAAGAAATTGTTGTTTTGTATTTAAGGCGACAATATAATTTGGCACATCTTCAAAAGACGCCCAAGCAAAAAAAAAAAAAAGAAAATTAAAAAACTCCTGAAGTGGCCTTTTCACGTGTCGATTTCTGTCGACTGGAAAATTTACTTAAGATATCGACTAGCCAAAACGCTTACATAAAGGCAGCTTAAATAACGTTCAAATTAATCATTTCCTTTGAGATGGGAAATACCAATAACCATTTCATAATTTCGAAAATTATTCCATTTATATTTGTTCTTGCATTTTCCACACCACTTGTGAGGTATGCTTTTACGCGCGTTACCGATTTTTTTTTTTAATGTGCTCGGTTGCCCAGGAGGCCTATTTTCACCTTTACAACTTAACATAAACAGAATTAGAACTAAAGCATGCAATATATAAAGAAAATTAAAAGTTGTCTTACATCTAGTAAACTTAAAAAATTGCACATTAAATTCATTTTTCATTATAAAATAAAATTAAATATCACAATTCCGTTCAAGTGTATACATATGTACATATTTACAAAATGTGGTCTGTTTGCACCCACAGTAAGTTCCCATGAAGCCTAGCCTAAATTCAGAACTGAAAAAAAACGAGCAAATGGGGTCGGAAACTACTAGCCCTAAAAGCATAATGTGGAAAATGTTTGAAGAGCTGCGAAATTGTATTGCAATAATAAAAATAACAGTGCATAAATTGGAAAAATGGCTTTTGTTTTGCTTTATAATTTTTGGGAATATTGGTTCAGATGGAATTTTTTTATTTGTTTGGTTTTTCAGCTCGATAATGATGCACCCAGGGTTGCATTTACTGTCTATGAAAATATTTCATGAAGCTTTCCAAAATTAGCTACTAGCCACTAAAAGTTGGTTAAGCTTAAATTAAATAGTTTTTTTTTTTTTTAATATTTTTATTGAGCTTTGTACCACGATTGTTTATTAGGAAAAATTGAAAAAGCAACAAAGTCTAAGCGGTAGAAGTTATAGCACTATTTCGGAGATCACCACATCTCCTCATCAGACTTCTTTTTCTAGACTTCTAGTCTGATGAGGAGATGTGGTGATCTCCGAAATAGTGCTATAACTTCTACCGCTTAGACTTTGTTGCTTTTTCAATTTTTCCTAATAAACAATCGTGGTACAAAGCTCAATAAAAATATTAAAAATAAAATGTTAACAAGCCACAATAACATTGACGAAATAGTTTTTTATTAAATATTTATTCCTGGTATTTAGTAAAAATCATTCATCTCAATACTAATATATGAAATGAAAGTAAATAAAAAAAATCTACGAATACATTTCATGAATATTTTGTCATAGGGCCATTATTAAATACAGACATAACTTTGTCGGGCGTTGGTACTGACGTATATAGAATTATAATGCGTTGGAGAGAGATAAATATACAAGTTCAACGCGCTAATTTAGGTATCCTTGTATGTGTATACCTGTTACTCGTCTGGCATATACTCCAACTGCGAAAATAATGACAATTATAATTTATGTAGATCCCTGGATAAAAGATTGTCACAAGTTACTTTCGGTAACTCACGATTGAAGTTTGGAATGCAATTTCTCAGAAACACGACTACAGATTTTCTCCAAAGTGTCGGAGAATGCTATGTACTAGTTCATGAAATTCTTAAATTATCTTATTTTTTTAGTTTAGTGTCAACCATTTATGAGTTTAATAAAATTTTGTCGTATACGACATTTGTCAAAAAATTTTTTTAGTGATATGCGCCAAAATGTGATGACAATTTTTATAAATTAACCATACTTTTTACTAATCAGCCTAATCGTGAGTTTCGCCCGAACAAAATTTCGCCAACAATTTTTTCATCCACCTGTAGTGAACACACGCAAACGAAAAGTAAAAAGTGACCCGGTTCTAGAAAATGAAACTCATGATAAAGCTGAATATGTCGGAAACTAAAGAAGAACAGATAACTCTATTTGAAAGATTTTGATTAGTTTAGTACGACAGCAATACTAACGCAATTTGTACCAAATAACCGAAAACATTTTAGTCAATTACTCGGAAACTAAAGAAGATATCCAAAAACCACAGATTGTCAAAATGACGCTTCCGGAAATTTTCCATCCAAGCGACGATATTTGAATGTTACTCACATATTTTCGAGCCTGTATGTAAATTTTCGGGAGAAAGGTTAAAAAGTATATTCATCTACTGAAAAGATATTTTTGCAGATTCACAATTTATTTAAAATAAATCTATTAGCCCAATCTCCAATTCCATGTGAATAAATCTCCCCAGTGCTTAAATAATTTTCACCACATTAAATAGCTGCACAACACCCTAATTGCCGTAAAAGCGTTGCTTGCAACACTAGTCCTTTATGGGGACCAAACTTGGCGATAAAAAAATAGCTAAGTTTGTTTACTGGATATACTGAGACGGGGATGTTGACGTTGGCGGTGACGCTGTCGCAAACGGATGGTATGTACTTCACTTTTAATAACCGTTCACAGGTGAGTCGTACTCACCACACCTCATTCACAATATGACTGGTTGACAGCTGTCTAAAACAAACTTTTTTGACGTTTTACTCTTATTTTTAATTAACATTAAATTTTTACTTCGTCTGATCTGAGTTATTCTTTCAATTTGTTTAATAAAAGTAAAAAAGAAACATGTCAACGAAGCAATCCGCGAAAAAATTAAAATGGGCATTAGATTTCAGTAATAGGTTTGTTTGTGTGTGTACGCGATGTCGACTGAAAATGGCATTTAATCTTCGATTTTTTTAGCAAAAATTCTGACTTGCCTTCTCCTCCGGGATATAATCCCTCGGTACTAGTTAATCACACTGAAGTAGTGCGGGATCAGCGGCTTGTCATAAAAAAATCTTGGGACTTGGCGCTTGGTCCATTGAAACAGGTATATACGTCCACAAAATTTCTCAAACCTAGGTCATTATGTGCATATGTCTTATATTTTATTTATTGACTGTAGATTCCGATGAATTTATTTATTATGTACATGTCCGGTAGTTCCATTTCGATATTCCCCATAATGATGGTCGGCATGATGTTGATTAGACCACTAAAAGCGATGTTTTCCACGGCAGTAACATCGAAGATGGCTGATGGAGCTCAAGGCAGCGGTCAGAAGCTTGTATATTTTTTGGGTAATTTGGCAAACGTAGCGGTGGCGTTGTACAAGTGTCACAGCATGGGTCTTTTACCGACACACGCATCCGATTGGTTGGCATTCGTAGAACCACAAACGCGCCTAGAGTACTACGGCGGCGGGGTCTCGTTTGTTTAGGATTATTTTTAAGTCAATATAATACATAGGCAGGTTCTGAAATTCACTTCCGAGTGAATTCCAACCCCCATTCAATTTGAATTCAAAGTGAAGTTGGTGACAATCACTCTGAAGTGAAATGCGAAACCTTCATGTTTACTTTTTTTCATGTATTCAACAGTCTATACTTATGATATGCGAACATTGTTAACACTAAAAAAGCAAATAAAAATATCGGTGGTACAATAGAATTATTGTAAATGTAAATCACGCGCAGACAGAAAAGTTACTCAATTAACTTTTTAGCGTTCTTCTTCACATCATGCATGAGCTGCTCTGCTGCCGATCTGAAAATAGAAACATGAATCTTAACCCCTTGTTGGCAAAATTTAAAATTAATTCGTAAAAAATGATTGGGATTTTATTAAATCTATGTCATGCCTAGGAAATACCTGCATGTACGCGTAATTAAGTCATAACCATTTTAAATCTTCAAGCCCACCAAGTTACAGGCATTGTAAAAGCGATTTTAAAATTTATGCAAACTCAATGAAATACACATTTTATTATTGAAATCTTCATTATCTATTTCTATATTCCTATTTTATATCTCTTACATCCTTGATGTTGCTCGTAGTATGTATATTGAGAATTTGTAGTATGTACTTTTTAATTTTCTATCGGCCGAAAAAATGGTGCTTTAAATTAGATTTTTAAGCGCCTCATTTTTGCTTAATTTTTCATTGCTGAATGAACTTCGTTTGCATACGGGATAAAACGAAATATGTTGTAATATATTACATTATTGTATTTTAATTAACACTTGTAAAAGAGGAGAAAATAATAATTTAAACTTTTTAATATTTTCGCTATAAATAGCCTTCTTTTGTCTTTATCTATGAGCGTATATATTATATACAACAGTATTTTCTGAGAATTAAAACTCTAATGACGTCACCATAGTTTATTAAAAGTCTTATTAATTATATTATTCTATACATTTGTGTTTTACTTTTTTCGGTGTTCGTCGGCAAATTCTTTTATCTTCTCGACCAATTTTCCGGGTTCATCCACACGAGGAACCTGGAAATAGTTAATTTCTCAATAAATTGTTAAAAGTAAATTTAATTGTGTTACCTCATAATTTTGACTTAGGTATATTCCGGTATATATACCAGCACCGAACGTAAGCTGAAATTAAAAATATAAATTAGTATGATAACCCGTGCTCAACTAATGGCGTTTTCGTTTCTACAAAAAAATGTTGCCTTCTCATTGCACTCTTCTTAGTGTTTGTGCGTAGACAAAGAGAAGGAACCTTTTTTGGCAAAAACGAAAACGCCATAAGGTTTAATAAAAGCTGATAAAAATTTTAAACATGCGCTAATATAGATATACCACACATGTTTACATGTACATACATATTTAAAACTTTCAAATCTGAAATAAGTCTCCTTCGAGAATTCCGAATATCTGAGCCTCCAGAAAGTATCGCGATAAAGGTATAAATGTGTACATATCTGTGTTCATATGGAATAGTAGCTTGTCGTAGCATATGATTGCGTATGACTCACTGGCGCGCAGCGGTTGAAGAACTTTTGACAAATAAACGTGCAAGAAATAGTTCCGATAGTAGCAAGTCAAAAGTCTTATTAATAGGGAATTTACATGATTCAACTTTAACAGGCGATTAGTTAAATCAAAAGTTGAACGAAAGTAGGCAGCCGACCAACTTCATTGAAAGCGATTAGTTGAAAGGCCGTTTACACCAGCCGTACCACCACCATCGTACATTAATTTGGCAGGATGAACGCAAATATTAAGTTCTCCAAAATTACATATGTACCTGTAATAAAAATTTGGTCCTTCCTACGGGTGTGTGCATAGACTGGATTTTTTTTTTATCCTATTGGTCAAGAACATTTGATGACAAAGGACATATCTTCATTTGGCCAGTTATATAACATCTAAAATTCACTAATAATTACAAGTCACCACGTATACTGCTTTAATTCTGTTAATTCTGTATATGTATACTATAAGCCAATTTAGGGACTTAACAAAGAGAGTCGCAGAGAATGTCCAAAAACTCACACAAGCACGAAAATTGCTGTCGTTTTTGTCAATTATGCATTATCGTTGCCATCATATTAATTTGCAACAAAAGACAATTACCTAATTCGCAATTAATATTACTAAATAAAAACTTACCAAAAATTTCAACATGTCCGAAAAATCTAATGCCACTTTGAAGAGTTTCTCAAAAACTGAGCACAAAACGAAATGAAAGCAAAAACAAGTTGCTTTGTATGAAATCAGCTGGCGTATACAAACAATGATGGGGCGAATATGTGCAAGAGGGATGAGACGATTGGGGTGAATTGAAAGTGCTATGGGTTTTATATTTTGTTTTTATCCGGTTAGGCCTAGTAGATTAGATAACCACTAGTTATATTTTCTGAAACACCTTTTTATCACAATTTAAACGAGATAAGGATTTTATATCGGTTATTGCGGATCCCAACCAGTTTCTTTTTTATATAATACCATATACTTTGATATAGATAAATTCGTTAATAGAGACCAACGAGAAACAACTATTATCAAAATGAATCGAGTTACTAAAATAGCTTTCCCAAGGCATATGAACATGAACGAAAGACACAAGATCACGCCTTAAGGAAAGAAAGAAAAAAGTTATTTTCTAGCTGTTGAAATCTCGACGCCATCTTTGTTGTAAGAAGTAAACAACGAAGAGAACAAAAAAAAAACGCGTAATTGTTGAACGCATGAATAATCATTTTTATTATGCAAATTCTCCTATAAATGATGTCGTTGTGTTAAATTATTCTTTACCTTATGTGTGCTACCGTTGTCACAAGCGAAAATTAAGAAAATTGCAGTAAAAAGCCACCACCAAATTGTAAACAACGAACAAATGTAAACAAACAGCTTATGTCAAAATCGCCCTACTTTTTTCATAAGTGCGATTATAACGGGCCACTCTTCTGCTGTCGTGATCTTGTCTTTTTGGTTCATGGCATATGAATGCGCCTTATTTTTATTTATTATTTGTCACATGGTCAGCATTTATTGACGTGATCCAAGTATCGCGATATTTATTGACGGTGTAGCATGCAGTATTGATGGATCGTGATCTGACGAAATGTATGGATCGCGTTTTGAAAGTGCTTCAATATTTATTGACGGTAATGCGATATCAAATTTTTTAGAAATTTTGCGATATGGATCCATCAATACCAAAGAACGTGGATAATAAGAAGGAACAACTCGTTATAATTGTGGCGAAAGGGCGCAACAGGGGCGTGCATTCTCTTTTCATCCAATCAAAAAACGCATTACCGAGATTTTCCAGCCGGTTAGGGCACTTTCGCTACAATTACAACGAGTTTTGCCTTGTTATTACGTTCTTTGTCAATACTGCATGCTACACCGTCAATAAATATCGCGATACTTGGATCACGTCAATAAATACTGACCGTGTGACCCTAAAAATTTTCTGGATCATGATAAAAACATACCAAAGTAGAACCGTTCTCTCAATTTGTCGGCCATGATGTTTTTGTGAAGTTTGCCAACATTTTAAAATCATATAAAAGTGAAAATAAAAAATTGAAATTGTTCGAAATTGTTGTTGCTTGAGATTGAAAATGAAAATGTGTGTGTGAGTTTGTGAGTAAATTTAAAAATTAAATTGTTTGGAAACGTCAAGAATTTTAAAAGTGACTCTCAGCGGTTCTACCTCACTATATTTTTATCATGATCTGGATCGCGGATCGCAATATTGTCAATAAATATTGAGCGTGTAGCACTCCATGCATTTCGTCAGTAGATCTTGTACTCTCATAATGCGAACATCGAAAACGTATTCGCTATGCTTTCGTTCTCGTTGCTTAAAACCTTTCAAAACAAATTGAAAAAATTTTAATTAACATGGGAAACCTTAAAATAATTTGGAATGCATTATCTGCAAAATATTCATACAAAATAATAAGCGTTCAGCACAAAAATTATGCAAATACTGTAAATGGATTTTCATTGCTGGTGGCTAGTTTAATATGAAATAGTCTTGGTCATGGGCGTAGCCAGGTAGGAGCAGGGGGGTGCTCGAGCCCCCCTAACTTTTAAATTTTCCTTATATATATATAAAATAGTATCCTGAAATACCAGCTCAATTGACGCGAGCCCCCCTCCCTAAATTTCATTCTGGCTACGCCGATGGTCTTGGTCACAAGCAATGATCTATTGGGAAAACTAAAATAGCTCAAATATAGAGCGTGTCAGACGTGGAAATATTTTCCACTTTTCCACGCATTACGCTGTCAAATTGAGAAAGATAAATTTTTTTTTCCCATGAGTGAACAGCCAGAAAGACCTTTCTGTTAGGGAGGTCGGAAAAACATCGATGCATCGAAAATATCGATGTTTTGCTTCGATGCATCGAAAATTTTCCACTCGATGTATAAATAGACGATGTATCGATGCATCGATGTATCGATGTTTTTTGAAAACTGACATCTACGGTACATTGAACCGTCATTCCAGTTTTTCAATTGTTCAAAAAAAAGAAGTGACTTTGGCCAAAAAATTTAAATGGCTGCAAGAAGTTTCGTTAGAAACATAATTAGCTCAGTTGCAGTAATTTATTTCAAATTTTCTACAATTTGGCTAATAACATATTTTGTTGGGAAACATTATCAGAAAAATCCTATGCAAAATATCGATGTATATTTCGATGAATCGAATCAAAGAAAAACATCGATGTATTTTTGCCACTGACTTCCCTATTCCTGTAGGGTGGAAAACTGTTGATGACTCTATCGATAGTATCGATGGCTTTTGACTATCGAAAACATCGATGGTTTTGTAATCAGTATCGATAGTTTTCACTCATATACACATTATTCGGTGATATACATAATTCAGAGCGCAGATGCTGCTTGAAGGCAAAACTCGTTGATAAAATGGTGTTCCTTAACAAAAATATCGACATATTTTAGCAATTAGGACCTCATTTTCAATAAAAGTTGTTATGTTTGATTTTTGGACTTTTTAATCAATACTATCGATAGTACTATCGATAGTGTCGACATTTTCGATAGTATCGATACTATCAATGGTTGTCACTATCGACTATTGATGGCCAGGGCCATCAGTTTTCCAGCTCTTCTAGGCTTAAACACGGCAACTCGAAGTTTTTTGAAGACAGGGCGTCGAGAAAAGGAGAAGGGCATTGAGTTGCTCGTGCTCGGGCAACACGCTTTNGACTATCGACTATTGATGGCCAGGGCCATCAGTTTTCCAGCTCTTCTAGGCTTAGACACGGCAACTCGAAGTTTTTTGAAGACAGGGCGACGAGAAAAGGAGAAGGGCATTGAGTTGCTCGTGCTCGGGCAACACGCTTTGTGCTCTCGTTCGTCAGAGTATTTCAAGTTGCAGCTGACGACATCAATTGTGTACTAAAGAGTTGCTCTGTGTGAATGCCGCGGGCAACATCGAAGGGGAAGTTGCCGAAAATAAGCAACAAAAGTTTCCTTGTGTGGACTCAGTGGGGCTGGGTAACTCATTGAATTTTAGCCAGTTAACTCAATGACTCAAGCTCATTTTAATGAGTCAGCTCAGTGAGGTTACACAATTGAGCTATGACACAAAATAATTTGCATACCTAACTCACTGTTTATTCGATGGTGAAAAGTTCTTTTTCAATATTGCCTGATTATAAAAAGGCAATAATATGACCATCGAAAAAGAAAATAAAGTTAAATGTGGCATCGTCTTGATTATAAAAAGGCAATAAGATTACCATCGACAAATCTTCGGTAACGTGCATAATAGACCTGTTATTCCATGAACCAAAAAGACAAGATCACTACAGCAGAAGAGTGGCCCGTTATAATCGCACTTATGAAAAAAGTAGGGCGATTTTGACATAAGCCGTTTGTTTACATTTGTTCGTTGTTTACAATTTGGTGGTGGCTTTTTACTGCAATTTTCTTAATTTTCGCTTGTGACAACGTGTGCACACATAAGGTAAAGAATAATTTAACACAACGACATGATTTATAGGAGAATTTGCATAATAAAAATGATTATTCATGCGTTCAACAATTACGCGTTTTTTTTTGTTCTCTTCGTTGTTTACTTCTTACAACAAAGATGGCGTCGAGGATTCAACAGCTAGAAAATAACTTTTTTCTTTCTTTCCTTAAGGCGTGATCTTGTGTCTTTCGTTCATGCTGTTATTCTCTAATTACCGGATCTGGTCCGGATTGTTAGGGAAAGAACCTGTGGTAGATGCTCAAAAAAGTGGCAGACCTAGCACAATGTGGGAGGAGTCCGATCACCGGTTCTATGCCATCTTGTTTCGTTGGAAAAAGAGCGAAAAGTAAACAAAGCAAAGAAAACCACGAAAACCAAAATTAGCCAAAATTATTGTCAGCCACTTTAAGCACACAATGTAGGTAAAATTAACAATTAAAACGCTTTACAATGTGTTGTCATGTTGAATTAACTCTTCTTTAGGGGTCTATTCTGCACGTTACCGAAGATTTTGTGACCGGAAAATTTTAATACTGTGGCGAATACTGCGGCCACGCGAAGCGAACAACGAGAAATAGGCAGAATGTTCGAGGAATGACGTAGAATGTTCCACAAAGAGAAACGTCAAGTTGGATGAACACTGCGAACAGCGAGCGAAAGAGAATGAGCGATAAACTTCTGAACGTTCTAGAGTTGCCATAAGTACGAGCGCAGGTATATAAGGGCGCCGCCACAGCGAGGTGAGTTATTTACGAGTTACAAGACAGCAAGCTACAAGTAAAGTGAGCAGAGAAGTAAGTTGCGAATAAGCAAGATATAAGTTTAATTGTGTTTCCAAGTTTAGTTAAGCGCTGTTATTGCTTTAACAAGTATTGTAAATTGTTTTTACTGTATTAGCGAGTATTCTAAATTGTTTGTTGTACAATAAAGTTAATTGTACTACAATTTGGTCATCGATTGCATTTATTTAACAATCCAGCGATACGAACCGAGAGATTTGGGAAATCCGGACGAGGTTGCAAGGATAATCGTAACAATACCAAAAAATGTTACCACTTCTTGTCACCACGTTTTTAGGTACGTTGGTAATGCAGTGAAAATATTCAGCAATTCAGCTATGAAGATTTGTGGAAATTCCTGTATTGTATCAATATTTTGTTACCAGCTTATGAGATGGTAACCAAATTCACCGGTTACAAGAGAGCACAGAGTGCGAAAAAGGTTTATGCCTGGAGTATAATGTAAGTAACGGAACGGAGCGAACTGTCACTTAATTATCTATTGTATGGGCAATGAATTCGAACGATTATAATGCACTTGAACGTAACGTAAAACGGAAGCATCTAAATTCAATAGATCCTTACGAATTCGCCGCGATTTATTACGATTCGCCCGCTGCATTATAGCCAAGGTATTAAGGTTGACACTTTAATTACCGGTTACAAAATTTATGTTACCAGTGCAGAATCGACCTGTTAGTTAAATAAAAGTGTAATATAGTGGTGCTTATGATGTAAACAAACGCTCAGCTGACGAATCTGCTTTCCCAAACTTTTTTCCCAAAACCAATTACGAATAAAACGTCGCGTTCTCACGTGATCTTGTATTTTTGGTTTATGAAAAAACACATCATTTTGACAAAAGGTGCAAATTCGCCGTGAAATCAGTGGCTCCGGTAACACCCAAGGCGAATTTATACAAGGTGGCAAGGCGAATTTATACAAGGTGGTGTTGATGGCGAATTTAGATTTTCGCCGAGGTACGTCTTAGTGTCAAAATGATGTGTTTGTTGTAAAATGAATTCGCCTTGTTTACAACAAACACATCATTTTGACATTCAGTAGTACCGTGGCGAAAATTTAATTCGCCATCAACACCACCTTGTATAAATTCGCCTTGGGTAACACCACTTTGGTTAGATTCGCCTTGGCTACCACCTTATATGAATACGCCTTGAGTCAGGGGTTGTACCCGTTACTAAGTAACGAATACATACGGTTTGCTACAGCTCTACCCCACACAAATTTCAAGTTTACTCAATACAAANTGGCTGTACCCGTTACTAATAACGAATACATATGGTTTGCTACAGCTCTACCCCACACAAATTTCAAGTTTACTCAATACAAATCTATGCGAAATAAATCAGCAAACAGATTTTGTGAATAAACACCAAAAAAGTTTAAACCTGGTAAAAAATTGGAAAAGTACAAATTGTTTGCCATAAGTGGAAAAACAACAACCGGCATAGCTTGGTGACCGACCTCGTTTAGTTTCTTTTCAACTACTTATTCGCAGTACACAAAATACAACGAATGCCGAAAAAATTGTGGAATCAGTAAACAGAAACCTACCGCAAAAAGAGTCAGTGCAGCTGTGGAAATTAAAGGCGGAATATTACGTGTATTGAATGAATTATTTGTGAAAAAATTGCAGCCACTTTTACTGCATGTTTTCTTATATACTGCTATCTAAAGCCAAGTCAAAAGCGATCCAGTTAAAAAGTGGGCACCAATTTGGTAACTACCATTAAAAGACTATTCAGAGGACATAAGGCGAAATTTTCCGAAACACCAGAAGACGATCCCAGTGCCCTGTTCCGAGTTTGCCTACGCAGGTAATTAGTCGTGACTCACCACTCACCTACACGCCCCCTCTTAGGTCCAGTGCTTGAGTGACAGTCGCATTATAAGCAGCTGTGAGTGGGAGGTGGAGAAGGAAGAACAAGAAATTAACTTCTTTCCAGAACGTGTTGACGTGTGGAAAGGTGATTCCCAAGACAAACACTACGCATAGGGATTCTATGGGGGGTCTATTGGCTAATAATTTCGTATATGTATTTATCTAAACTCCGGCGTTGTATACTCGTAGAAGTGCTGTAAAAATTCGGAAAAGCAAATATGCCGATGTTGTGAAAAGTTGAAAATGTGCGGGAAATTAAGCATGTCGTTCATTTGCGAATTGCCAATTGTAATCAACGAACAGCCTGCCTATTTACGCGAATATATCAATACTTTCTAGAATAATGTAGTGTTTTGCGGTTGCGTGTTCCGATTCCTTGTGTCTAACCATAAAAAAAGCGTACGTGTGTAGAAATACATATATAGATCAAGTAAACAATAACGAAAATCAAGCTAAAGCGTGTTCTTACCCACTGGCCATGACAATGGTCTCGAATATTCGCATGTGTCATAACAAAATAGACCAAAGCAATAGGAAAATTTGCTTATTTTGTGTGTAATTTAAAATNAGGAGGTGGAGAAGGAAGAACAAGAAATTAACTTCTTTCCAGAACGTGTTGACGTAGGGAAAGGTGACTCCCAAGACAAACACTACGCATAGGGATTCTATGGGGGGTCTATTGGCTAATAATTTCGTATACGTATTTATCTAAACTCCGGCGTTGTATACTCGTAGAAGTGCTGTAAAAATTCGGAAAAGCAAATATGCCGATGTTGTGAAAAGTTGAAAATGTGCGGGAAATTAAGCATGTCGTTCATTTGCGAATTGCCAATTGTAATCAACGAACAGCCTGCCTATTTACGCGAATATATCAATACTTTCTAGAATAATGTAGTGTTTTGCGGTTGCGTGTTCCGATTCCTTGTGTCTAACCATAAAAAAAGCGTACGTGTGTAGAAATACATATATAGATCAAGTAAACAATAACGAAAATCAAGCTAAAGCGTGTTCTTACCCACTGGCCATGACAATGGTCTCGAATATTCGCATGTGTCATAACAAAATAGACCAAAGCAATAGGAAAATTTGCTTATTTTGTGTGTAATTTAAAATTTATTCCATTGAAAACGTATCGAAATATTCTTCAAAAAGGCAAAAAGGAAAGGAATTGGGTATATATTTATTTGCCGTATTTTATTCCTTTGCTTTAACCACATNTTTATTGGGTATATATTTATTTGCCGTATTTTATTCCTTTGCTTTAACCACATGCAAAATCCGTCCGCGCCCGCGTTTTTCTGTCTACATTCTACATCCCTTTTGAATTACCTTTTAATAATTTTTTGTGCTATTTGTTTTTGGGGGAGTGCGCCCAAAGAAAAAGACGATCTCACAACTAACAGAAGAACCGCGGGCTGTTGTATATTNGTAACCATAAAAAAGCGTACGTGTGTAGAAATACATATGTAGATCAAGTAAACAATAACGAAAATCAAGCTAAAGCGTGTTCTTACCCACTGGCCATGACAATGGTCTCGAATATTCGCATGTGTCATAACAAAATAGACCAAAGCAATAGGAAAATTTGCTTATTTTGTGTGTAATTTAAAATTTATTCCATTGAAAACGTATCGAAATATTCTTCAAAAAGGCAAAAAGGAAAGGAATTGGGTATATATTTATTTGCCGTATTTTATTCCTTTGCTTTAACCACATGCAAAATCCGTCCGCGCCCGCGTTTTTCTGTCTACATTCTACATCCCTTTTGAATTACCTTTTAATAATTTTTTGTGCTATTTGTTTTTGGGGGAGTGCGCCCAAAGAAAAAGACGATCTCACAACTAACAGAAGAACCGCGGGCTGTTGTATATTACGCGTAATGTTCGATAGCTTTCTCAGTATGCTACGTAAGCGTCGCCGTCTCGAGAACGTCGCGGAGGAGCCAAACACACAAATAACCACAGGACCAGCCGAACGGGCAGCTGGCGCCGATGCATATTGGGATACGTTATTTAATTCAAGTCCAGCAGCAGCGGCTGCTGCAGCTGATTTAAGTAGACCTTCCTTCTCCACTGCCGCTCCGCTTGCGAGCACATCACGGACTGCAGCGGCAGATATCAGCGATATGTCTTTGTTGTCGCTACCATCTCTGGCACTTTGCCCTCTTGATAGGTAATTTAATATTAATATAATTCTTGTTTTAATTATCTTTTCAGTATTTTTGACGTTCAAACATAACGTCGAGCAACAAATTGAGGCTGGCTTCAAAGCGAGATAAAATATTAAGATAAAATATATACTTTTAACAAAGTAGAAACAGAATATACAGCCGCTTTTCTATTTTAGTATATAAAGCAAACATAATATACAACCGCACATTCCAAGTTACACATATAGATACCAAACTCAAAACAAAAGAGATGTAATAAAAAATCTAAAAGTAAAAAATAGTTAACAACTTGCAAGATTTTTTGGCCAGTTAATAGACTCTAAAACAACGACGATAGTAGGCGTTCTCAAATATAGGCAACAGCGACGAAAACGTTAACAATACAACGTTAAGAAAACAACCATAACAACGCTACACAGATTTAGTGTTTTGAAGACTCTTGGCTTCATTTCTGTTTATTTAGCTGAGCGTTAAACGCAGCATTGCTTCCACCACGTCTCAGGGAGAAGATATGGATATTGATTCCGCTCCTGTGCCACCACCACAGGAGTATTCAGATAATCCAGCAGGCTATCAATCGGAATCATCTATGAATTTCGATTATTTGCACGGCTTAAATGAGAACGCCTCAGCATCAGCAAAGGCGTCTTCATCAGCGACATCACTGAGCGGCCATGGTAGCTCATTGGACTCGCCACGCCATTTTAGTGGCGTTGGCGCCGGTAGCATGGATGCAAGCACGTCAATGCAGAGTTATGGATACGTTGACGAAAGTAAAGCATTGGACAGGTTGTTACTAAAGTGTATTTAAAGTAAAAAAAAGTAAATTATATAAACTTCATAAACATTTAGTTGGTGCTAAGGCGATCGTAAATGAAAATGCAAATGTATTGTTCGTTTAAAGTACAAGAACGCGTATCAAGATAATGTAAAACCTTGTTTTACAGTGAAGAGTAAAGCCTGTGCTATTTCAAACCCGACTAAATATCGATCTTTTGGTATGATTGGATAAGACTTGATGCCAGAAGCTTACAGTGAGCAAATCTCATTTTTGGCATAAATGTCAGTTACGAGGTTTTGCAGAACCACGATACGCGCTTTTGTACTTNTTATCTCCTTTATCCGTAATCATCTATACCTTTTGTAACTAAATATCGATCTTTTGGTATGATTGGATAAGACTTGATGCCAGGAGCTTACAGTGAGCAAATCTCATTTTTGGCATAAATGTCAGTTACAAGGTTTTGCAGAACCACGATACGCGCTTTTGTACTTTAAACGACGCTATACATATCTACATATATGTATATGAATACCTACATATGTATGTGTATATGTACTTATGTAAGTGAAATGGGCTTGCTTGAAAAAGTGTGTGGGTATTACATATAATTATAGCAGTTTTCAGTGATTTAAATAGTTGTTACGAGCGCGCGTAAAGCAAGCTCACAGCCACTTTCGTTTTCATAATTCCGTATAAGGACGGGTGATCGCGAACACCCTATAGCTTACATTATAAAACACACATTCTTCAAAAGTGTATTAATTAACAAATTTTCACTTTTTGATATTAAGCGCTAAAAATGTTCACAGCCGCATATTTACCATCCAGCAAAAACGAAAGTAAAAGTTAAAAAGAACCAAAGTAGTCTTCCTTCCCCATCTGATTAAAATGGCCTTGGAAATAATTTTTTTTTGCATCTTCTGATAAACGGGGAACTTTGAGTTATTACACTTTTGAAGAACTCTGCGATATGTATGTATGCACGCACATAGATTGGTCAACAAAAGTATATTATGGTAAACGAGTTTCTAAATATTTACATATTCTTTAAGGATGGTGCTTCATATAGACTTTGTATAGTTAAACTTTAAATTTAACTTTAGGCATAGTAAAACCAAACATGCTCTTTTTTGTCTGCCTTGTACTTAAATTATACATATAACAGTTAACCAAATAACAAAAATACTGACTTATACTATATGCCGTTCAATAGCGTGATTTGGTCTTGTTTCTTAATTAGTTACAATCGTTTACCAAAATATACTGCACTAACAAAGCTATTGGGAATTTAATAAGTACATTAATCTTATTTCGTGGATTCCCCATTATTTTTTATCGCACTTTATATATTTATTCTTAAGTATAAAATGTAGTACGGCTTTTTTCACTAAATAATATTTACAAATATTTCTATTTATTTTATTTTTCATTTTAATCGTATGTATGTAAATCGACGTACTTCCCAACCAATCAAATAACCAACCACCATCTTTGCCTACAAAACAAATACCATCAACTACTCAATTGTCTCACCATAAAATGTCACACTGTAACAATTATGATAAACAGGCCCTTTAACCTGAACGAAAGGTAAATTTCGTTTTTTGCAGTTGATTTCTTTACTAGATACTT